GGAAGGGCGGGAGGAGGAGCCGGAATCACTGGGGAAATTTAATTGGATTTTGGGAATAATTCCCTCTTGGAATTGGGAATAATTCCTCATGGAATAGCCAGGGCAGTGGTAGAACCCCAAAAATCCCGAAAGGACTTCAAATCCATGTGGATTTAGGGAGATAAAACTCGGTGTGAACGCTTGGATTCCCAAAGCTTTTTCCAACCCTAAAAATCCAAAAAAAATCGGTGTTTTCATATTTCAATCCCACAATAAAAAATAAAAAAAAGCCGGAAATCAGGAATGTGGAAAAAAAAATAAACAACTTAAATCCCACTGTGGAAACGAGAAGCTCGGCTTTGGGATTCGGGAAGAATTTTGGAATTAATTCCCAATTTTTTTTTTTTTTAATTGTAGGCTCCGGATGAAAATTCCCTGCTGGATTTGGCGAAGTTACTGAAGGAAAAAGGTGTTGACCACAAGATTTGGGTGGAAAATCCCGAGGGAATTCCCACGTGCCTGGCGCTCCGGCCTTATCCCAAAAACCTGGTGCAGCCTCACCTCAGGAATTTCAAACTCCTCAAATGATTCCATCTCCGATTTTCCAGGTTTTTTCCTCTCCAAATCCTGGAATTTTGGGATCGAGTTCCGTTTCGGGATGGGGAGTGGTGGGATTTGGTGGTTTTAAAGTGGTTTTTATTCCACCTGCTGATGGAAGTTTTGTGGTTTTGTTTGGGTGTCGTGAGGGGGAGTTTCTGAGGGGAAAAAGGGAGGGAAAATGGGGGGAGAAAGAAGGAAAAGAGTTAAAAATGAAAAGGGGAAAAAAGGAAAAGAGTTAAAAATGAAAAGAGAAAAAATGGAGGAAAATGAGAGAGGAAAATGAGGGGAAAAAAGGGGGGAAAATGAGGAAAATAGGAGGGAAATGAGGGAAAAGGGGAAAGAAAGGGGGGGAAAATGGGGGGAGAAAGAAGGAAAAGAGTTAAAAATGAAAAGAGAAAAAAAGAAGGAAAATGAGGGGAAAAAGGGAGGAAAATGAGGGGAAAAAAGGGGGGAAAATGAGGAAAATAGGAGGGAAATGAGGGAAAAAGGAGGGAAATGGAGGGAAAAAGGGAAAGAAAGGGAGGGAAAATGGGGGGAGAAAGAAGGAAAAGAGTTAAAAATGAAAAGGGGAAAAAAAGGAGGAAAATGAGGGAGAAAATGGGAAAAATGGGAGGGAAATGGGGGAAAAAGGAGGGAAAAACAGGGAAAAAAGGAAAACAAGGTAGGAAATAAAAGGGAAATGAGGAAAATGGGGAAAAATGAGGAAAATGGGGGAAAGGAGGAAAAGGAGGAAAATGGGAGGAAAAAAAGTAGGGAAAAAAGGAAAGGAAGGGAGGGAGAAATAAAAAAATGGGATAAAAATGAGAGGAAAAGGGGGACAAAGGGGAAAAGGAGGAAAAAAGGAAAAGATGGAAAAGGGAAAAATGGGGAAAAGAAGGGAAAAATTGGGGGAAAGAGGAGGAAAAAGGAGAAGAAGGTAAAGGAAAAAATGGGGAAAAAGGAGGAAAAAATGGGAAAGGAAAAGAGTAAAAAGGAAATAAAGGTAAAAGGAAAATGAAAGAAATGGGGAAAAGGAGGAAAAAATGGGAAAGGAAAAGAGTAAAAAGGAAATAAAGGAGAAAAAAGGGGAAAAGGAGGAAAAGAGGGAAAAAGAAAAGGGAAAAATGAAGGGAATGGGAAAAAAAAGAAAAGAAGGGAGGGGAAAAGAAAAAATGGGGGAAAAAGGAGGAGAAATGGGGGAAGGAAAAGAGAAAAAAGTAAAAGAAGAAAGGGAAAAAATGGAGAAAAATAGAGAAAAATGGGGAGAAAAATAGAGAAAAATGGGGAGAAAAATAGAGAAAAATGGGGAGAAAAATAGAGAAAAATGGGGAGAAAAATAGAGAAAAATAGAGAAAAATGGGGAGAAAAATAGAGAAAAATGGGGAGAAAAATAGAGAAAAATAGAGAAAAATGGGGAGAAAAATAGAGAAAAGAGAAATGGGGGAAGGAAAAGAGAAAAAAGTAAAAGAAGAAAGGGAAAAAATGGAGAAAAATAGAGAAAAATGGGGAGAAAAATAGAGAAAAATGGGGAGAAAAATAGAGAAAAATGGGGAGAAAAATGGGGAGAAAAATAGAGAAAAATGGGGGGAAAAGGAGGAAAAAAGGAAAAGAAGGGAAAGGGAAAAATGGGAGGAAAAAGGAAAAAAAGGAGGGGAAAAGAAGGAAAAAGAATAAAAAGGAAAATGGGAGGAAAGAAGGAAAAACCAGGGGAAAAAAGGAGGAAAAAAAGAAAAAAATGATGGAAAAAGGAGGAAAAGGAAAGAAAAGGGAAAGGAAAAATAATGAAAAAAAAGAGGAAAATAAGGAAAAAATGGGGGGAGAAAAAGTGGAGAAAAGGAAAAGAGAAAAACAAAAAAAAAAGTAGAAAATGGGGAAAAAAAACCAGAAAATTAAATAAAAAAAAAAAATTCCCAAATCCCTGGATCCCATTTTTCCATCTCCCACCAGAATTCCTGATTTTCCAGCCCCAAAAATTGAATTTTTGATTTTTTCCCAAATTTCTTTTTCTTCCCCACCCCCAAATTTCCCCCAAAAGCAGCAAAATTTTGGCTGCAGAATCTGAATTTTCCCTTTTTTTTTTTGTTTTCCCCCAGGAATTTTTTAAAGAGAAAAGAACAAAAAAAAATTCCACCTGGAAGAAAAAAAATCGAATTAAATTCCAACCAAACCCCCAAAAAAAAAAGCTTTTTCCTGACAAACAATTCCATTCTTATTCTTTTATTATTATTAATTAATTAATTATTAATTATTATTTTTAAATATCCGAAGCTACTCCAGCTGTTAAACACAATCCAAGCAGGAAAAAAAAAAAAAAAACATTTTATTCCTTTTTTTTTCCAGAATTTTTCCATCTTTTCCCTCAGAAAAAAAAAAAAAAAAATTTATCTAAAAGAACCCCTCCCCCCTCCCCCTTTTTCCTTAAAAATTATTGCAGATTTTCCCATTTTTTTGGAATTTTTTATCATTTTTCCCCTCTTTTCTTGCACTGTACACGAGGTTTTCCCTCCTCACCCCGCGGAATTCCGGAGGGAGCGGCGAAAAATTGGAAAAACCGGGTGAAAATACGAATTTTTTTTTCCTTTTTTTTGTGGTTTTTTTTGGAAAAAAACCCCACAGATTCCACGATTTTTTTTTTTTTTGCTAGAAAAAGCTGATTGTACGCACGAGCCGAAGGGGGAGGGGGGGAATGGGAATTTCAGAGGGTTGGGGGGGAAAAATTGGGATTTTCCCCCGGAATTCCGGAGTTTTTCCTGGGGTTTGGTGGGTTTTTGTTTTTAGTTTTGTGCCCCGCGTCAGATCCAGCTGAGACTGAGCTGCTTCCTCCTCTTCCTCCTCCTCTTCCTCCTCGGTTTTTGGGGCTGTTCCGGGGAGTTCTGGGAGTGGGGAGGGGGGGGTTAAAAATTGGGGGTGGGAAAAAGGGGGAAGAAAATGGGGAAAAAAGGAAAGGGAAAGGAGGGAAAAGGGGAAAAGAAGGAGAAAAAAGGGGGAAAATGGGGGGAAAAAAGGGAAAGGGGGAGAGGAAAAGGGGGAAAAGAAGGAGAAAAAAGGGGGAAAATGGGGGGAAAAAAGGGAAAGGGGGAGAGGAAAAGGGGGAAAAGAGGGAAGGAAAAAGGGATTGGGAAAAACTGGGAAACAGGAAGGGAAAGGGGGAGAGGAAAAGGGGGAAAAGAGGGAAGGAAAAAGGGATTGGGAAAAACTGGGAAACAGGGAAAAGGAAGGGGGGAGGAAAAGGGGGAAAAGAGGGAAGAAAATGGGGAAAAGATGGAGGGAAAAGGGGGAAAATTGGGAAAAAGAAGGAAAAGAGGGAGAAAAGGGAAAAGAAGGGAAAAAGGAATGGAAAAGGAGGAAAAGAGCAGGAAATGGGAATAAAATGAGGGAAAAGATGGAAAGGAGGAAAAGGGAAAAATGGGGAAAAAAGGGAAGAAGAGAGAGAAGGAGGAAAAGGAAAAGGAAGAAGGGAAAAAGAGAAAAAACAGGAAAAAGAAAGAAAAAGGGAAATGGGGAAAAGGGGAGAAGAGGAAAATGAGGGAAAATGAGGGAAGGGAGGAGGAAAAAAAAGAAAAAATGGGGAAAAGGAGGAAAATAGGGAAGAAGATGAAAAGGAGGAAAGAGAAAAAGAAGAGAGGAAAGGGGAAAAGTAGAAACATGGGAAAAAAGGGGGAAAAGAGAGGGGAAAAAGGAGAAAAATCAGGGAAATGAGGGGGGAAAGGAGAAAAATCAGGGGAAAAAGCAGAAAAATGTCGGGAAAAAAGGGGAAAAAAAGAGAAAAATCAGGGGAAGAGAGAGGGGAAAAAAGGAGAAAAAGAGGAAAAGGAAGAAGGGGAAAAAGGAGGAAAAGAGGAGAAAAAATAGGGGAAAACAGAGGAAAAAGGAGAGATATCAGGGGAAAAGTGAGGGGAAGACAGGAAAAAGGGAGGAAAAGGGAGAAGAAGAAAAATTGGGGAAAAATCAGGGAAAAAGGGGGGAAAAGGGAGAAAAATCAGGGAAAAAGAGGAGGAAGAAAGGAGAAAAATCAGGGGAAAAGAGAGGGGGAAAAGGGAGAAAAAGTGGAGAAAAAAATAGGGGAAAAGAGGAGAAATATCAGGGGAAAAAGTGAGAGGAAGAAAGGAAAAAGGGAGGAAAGGGAAAAAGAAGGAAAAGAAGAAAAGTTGGGGGGAAAAAGAAGAAAAATCAGGGAAAAAGAGGAGAGAAAAATCAGGGAAAAAGAGGAGCGAAAAATCAGGGAAAAAGGAGAAAAATGAGGTGAAAAGAGAGGGGAAAAAGGGGAAAAAAATCAGGGAAAAAAGGCCCAAAACCCCAAAAACCAGGGGGTAACAACCCTCGGTGCAAAGCCCACCCCCCTTTCCCCAAAAACCCCCATCCCCCATTTTCCATTTTCCCTCCAAACATTCCGGGGGCGTGGCTGGATATCAAAATTCCCATAAAAAATAGATCCTATATAATAATTTTCTCTCTCTCTTTTTTTCGCGTCCATCTTTCCCGAGTTTTGGGGTTGTTTTTTTTTTGGGAATTCCCGGCGTTCCGGCCTCTATTCCGTCAGCAGCTGCTGCAGGAGGCTCTTCCCTTGTCCCGGCGGCGGCGGCGGCGGAGCAGCGGGATTTTTGGGATTGGCCAACGGAGCCGGCGCGTTGAGGTAGGGATCTCCCACCAGATTCACCGTGCACTGCACGTCGGCGAACACCTGCACCTGCTGCACCTGGGCGGAATTCCCAAAAAAAACCAAAAAAAGAAACAAAAAAAAAAGGGATTTAGCGGATCCGGGGAAGGGGCGGGAGCGGGATCTGGGAACTACGTGAAGCTGGAAACTCACTAGAGGACTTGTGCTCTAGTCTGGGGCCACAACAGAGAAGAACTCTTCGGTCTTCGCGTCCTACGGAAAGAAAAGCGCTGCGGCTCAGCCGGCTCCGGGGGGCGGGAAATAATTCGGGAATGCGGAGGGAAAACGGCTCCTGATGGAGCGTCTCAGGGGGGTTGGGAATGGGGTGGAGCTGTCCTGGAGTTCTGTGGATTGGGAGGCTCCTGGTGGCTCCCAGGTGCTGATCTGGTAAAAAATCTGGGATTTGTGTGGAAAAACGGCTCTGGATGGAGCTGAGATGGGTTTAGAGGCATCTCAGGGGGGTTGGGAATGGGGTGGGTGGAGCTGTCCTGGAGTTCCGTGGATGGGGAGGCTCCTGGTGGCTCCCAGGTGCTCATCCAGGAAAAAAAAATGGGATTATGGTGGAAAAACGGCTCCTGATGGAGCTGGGATGGGGTTTGGAGACATCTCAGGGGGTTGGGAATGGGGTGGGTGGAGCTGTCCTGGAGTTCCGTGGATGGGGAGGCTCCTGGTGGCTCCCAGGTGCTCATCCAGGAAAAAGAAGTTGGGATTATGCTGGAAAAACGGCTCCCAATGGAGCTGGGATGGGTTTGGAGGCATCTCAGGGGGGTTGGGAATGGGGTGGAGGAGGAGCCATCCTGGATTTTCATGGATGGGGAGGTTCCCAGTGCCTCCGGGCACTGATCCAAGGAAAAAATTGGGAATCATCTCAGGGGGTTTGGGAATGGGGTGGGTGGAGCTGTCCTGGATTTCCATGGATTGGGAGGTTCCTGGTGGCTCCCAGGTGCTGATCCAGTTTAAAAAAGTGGGATTGTGGTGGAAAAATGGCTCCCAGTGGAGCTGAGATGGGGTTTGGAGGCATCTCAGGGTGTTTGGGAATGGGGTGGGTGGAGCTGTCCTGGAGTTCCATGGATGGGGAGGCTCCTGGTGGCTCCCAGCTGCTGTTTTGGTAAAAAAACGGGAATTTTGGTGGAAAAACGGCTCTCGATGCAGCTGGGGTGGGGCTGGAGGCATCTCAGGGGGGTTGGGAATGGGGTGGAGATGGAGCCGTCCTGGATTTCCATGGATTGGGAGGCTCCTGGTGGCTCCCAGCTGGTCATCCGGGAAAAAAAATTTGGGATTATGGTGTAAAAATGGCTCCCGATGGAGCTGGGGTGGGGCTGGAGGCATCTCAGGGGGGTTGGGAATGGGGTGGAGGTGGAGCTGTCCTGGATTTCCATGGATTGGGAGGCTCCTGGTGGCTCCCAGGTGCTGATCTGGTAAAAAATCTGGGATTTGTGTGGAAAAACGGCTCTGGATGGAGCTGAGATGGGTTTAGAGGCATCTCAGGGGGGTTGGGAATGGGGTGGGTGGAGCTGTCCTGGATTTCCATGGATTGGGAGGTTCCTGGTGGCTCCCAGGGGCTGATCCAGTTTAAAAAAGTGGGATTGTGGTGGAAAAATGGCTCCTGATGGAGCTGAGATGGGTTTGGAGGCGTCTCAGGGGGGTTGGGAATGGGGTGGGTGGAGCTGTCCTGGATTTCCATGGATGGGAGGCTCCTGGTGGCTCCCAGGTACTGTTTTGGTAAAAAAACTGGGATTGTGGTGGAAAAACGGCTCCCGGCGGAGCTGGGATGGGTTTGGAGGCATCTCAGAGGGGTTGGGAATGGGGTGGGTGGAGCTGTCCTGGAGTTCCATGGATGGGGAGGCTCCTGGTGGCTCTCAGGTGCTGATCTAGTAAAAAATCTGGGATTTGTGTGGAAAAACGGCTCCCAATGGAGCTGGGGTGGGTTTGGAGACATCTCACGGGGTTTGGGGAATGGGGTGGAGCTGTCCTGGATTTCCATGGATTGGGAGGCTCCTGGTGGCTCCAGGTACTGTTCTAGTAAAAAAACTGGGATTTTGGTGCAAAAACGGCTCCCAGTGGAGCTGGGGTGGGTTTAGAGGCATCTCAGGGATTTGGGGAATGGGGTGGGTGGAGCTGTCCTGGATTTTTGTGCATGAGGAGGCTCCTGGTGACTCCCAGGTGCTGATCTAGTAAAAAAAATCTGGGATTGTGGTGGAAAAATGGCTCCTGATGGAGCTTGGGGTTGGGAATGGGGTGGGTGGAGCTGTCCTGGAGTTCCGTGGATTGGGAGATTCCTGGTGACTCCCAGCTGCTGTTTTGGTACAAAAACTGGGATTTTGGTGTAAAAACGGCTCTCGATGCAGCTGGGGTGGGGCTGGAGGCATCTCAGGGGGGTTGGGAATGGGGTGGGTGGAGCTGTCCTGGATTTCCATGGATGGGAGGCTCCTGGTGGCTCCCAGCTGCTCATCCGGGGAAAAAAAGTTGGGATTATGGTGTAAAAACGGCTCCTGATGGAGCTGAGATGGGTTTGGAGGCATCTCAGGGGGTTTGGGAATGGGGTGGGTGGAGCTGTCCTGGAGTTCTGTGGATGGGGAGATTCCTGGTGACTCCCAGCTGCTGTTGGCTCCCGGCGGAGCTGGGGTGGGTTTGGAGGCATCTCAGAGGGGTTGGGAATGGGGTGGGTGGAGCTGTCCTGGAGTTCTGTGGATGGGGAGGCTCCTGGTGGCTCCCAGGTGCTCATCCGGGAAAAAAAAAATTTGGGATTATGGTTGAAAAACGGCTCCTGATGGAGCTGGGGTGGGGCTGGAGGCATCTCAGGGGATTTGGGGAGTGGAGTGGGGACGGAGCCATCCTGGATTTCCGTGGACGTGGAGGCTCCTGGTGACTTCGGGCACTGATCCAAGGAAAAAACTGGGAATTGTGGTGGGAAAACAGCTCCCAGCAGAGCTGGGGTGGGGCTGGAGACATCTCAGGGGGTTGGGAATGGGGTGGGTGGAGCCGTTCCAGACCTTGGAACACTGGGAGGCTCCTGGTGGCTCCAGGGGTTGATCCGGGAAAAAAATCTGGGATTGTGGTGGAAAAACGGCTCTGGATGGAGCTGGGGTGGGGTTTGGAGGCATCTCAGGGGGGTTGGGAATGGGGTGGAGGAGGAGCCATCCTGGATTTTCATGGATGGGGAGGTTCCCAGTGCCTCCGGGCACTGATCCAAGGAAAAAATTGGGAATTGTGGTGGGAAAACAGCTCCCAGCAGAGCTGGGGTGGGGCTGGAGACATCTCAGGGGGTTGGGAATGGGGTGGAGGAGGAGCCATCCTGGATTTTCATGGATGGGGAGGTTCCCAGTGCCTCCGGGCACTGATCCAAGGAAAAAATTGGGAATTGTGGTGGGAAAACAGCTCCCAGCAGAGCTGGGGTGGGGCTGGAGACATCTCAGGGGGTTGGGAATGGGGTGGAGGAGGAGCCATCCTGGATTTTCATGGATGGGGAGGTTCCCAGTGCCTCCGGGCACTGATCCAAGGAAAAAATTGGGAATTGTGGTGGGAAAACAGCTCCCAGCAGAGCTGGGGTGGGGCTGGAGACATCTCAGGGGGTTGGGAATGGGGTGGGTGGAGCCGTTCCAGACCTTGGAACACTGGGAGGCTCCTGGTGGCTCCAGGGGTTGATCCGGGAAAAAAATCTGGGATTGTGGTGGAAAAACGGCTCTGGATGGAGCTGGGGTGGGGTTTGGAGGCATCTCAGGGGGGTTGGGAATGGGGTGGAGGGAGCTGTCCTGGAGTTTTGTGGATTGGGAGATTCCTGGTGACTCCCAGGTGCTGATCTAGTAAAAAATCTGGGATTGTGGGAGAAAAACGGCTCCCGATGGAGCTGGGGTGGGGCTGGAGGCATCTCCGGGGGTTTGGGAACGGGGTGGGTGGAGCCATTCCAGACCTTGGAACACTGGGAGGCTCCTGGTGGCTCCAGGGGTTGATCTGGGAAAAAAATCTGGGATTATGGAGGAAAAACGGCTCTGGATGGATCTGGGGTGGGGCTGGAGACATCTCAGGGGGGTTGAGGAATGGGATGGAGGAGGAGCCATCCTGGATTTCCATGGAATGGGACATTCCTGGTGGCTCCCAGGTGCTCATCCGGGAAAAAAATTTGGGATTATGGTGGAAAAACGGCCCCAGAACGGAGCTGGGGCGGGTTTGGAGGCATCTCCAGGGGGTTTGGGAATGGGGTGGGTGGAGCTGTCCTGGAGTTCTGTGGATTGGGAGGCTCCTGGTGGCTCCAGGAGCTGATCCCGGGAAAAAAATTGGGATTGGTGTGGAAAAAAGGCTCCGAATGGAGCTGGGGTGGGGCTGGAGAATGGGGTGGAGGTGGAGCCATCCCGGATTTTCAGGGATGGGGAGGCTCCCAATGGATGACAGGTGGTGATCCCAGAAAAAAAAAAATTGGGATTGGTGTGGAGAAACGGCTCCAGAAGGAGCTGGGGTGGGGCTGGAGACATCTCCGGGGGGTTGGGAATGGGCTGGGTGGAGGTGGATCCATCCCGGATTTCCATGGATGGGGAGGCTCCTGGTGCCTCCCAGGTGGCTGATCATCCGGGGAAAAAAAGTTGGGATTATGGTGTAAAAACGGCTCCTGATGGAGCTGAGATGGGTTTGGAGGCATCTCAGGGGGTTTGGGAATGGGGTGGGTGGAGCTGTCCTGGAGTTCTGTGGATTGGGAGAGTCTTGGTGGCTCCAGGATCTGATCCAGGGAAAAAAATAGGGATTATGGTGGAAAAACGGCTCCAGAAGGAGCTGGGGTGGGGCTGGAGACATCTCCAGGGGGTTTGGGAATGGGATTGGTCGTGGGGTGGGTGGAGGTGGAGCCATCCCGGATTTCCATGGATGGGGAGGTTCCTGGTGGCTCCCAGGTGTTGATCCCGGAAAAAAATTTGGGATTATGGTGGAAAAACGGCCCCAGAACGGAGCTGGGGCGGGTTTGGAGGCATCTCCAGGGGGTTTGGGAATGGGATTGGTCGTGGGGTGGGTGGAGGTGGAGCCATCCCGGATTTCCATGGATGGGGACGTTCCTGGTGGCACTGGGCAATGATCCAGGAAAAACATTTGGGATTTTGGTGGAAAAAAGGATCCGGTGGAGCTGGGGTGGGGCTGGAGGCATCTCAGGGGGTTGGGGAACGGGCTGGGTGGAGCTGGAGCCATCCCGGATTTCCAGCTCCCGGCGGCTGCGGCAGCAGGAGCGACGTTCCGGGGTTTTTGGGTGTGGCTTTGGTGGCGCCGTGGTGGCTTCAACCCAAGGGTGTCACCCAGTGGTGTCACCCAACACCGGTGTGACCTTGGTGGCTTCAACCCAAGGGTGACACCCAGTGGTGTCACCCAACACCGCTGTGACCTTGGTGGGTGGCTTCTACCCAGTGGTGTCACCCAACGCTGGTGTGACCTTGGTGGCTTCAACCCAAGGGTGTCACCCAGTGGTGTCACCCAACACCGGTGTGACCTTGGTGACTTCTACCCAGTGGTGTCACCCAACACTGATAGGACCTTGGTGGCTTCAACCCAAGGGTTGTCACCCAATGGTGTCACCCAACACCGGTGTGACCTTGGTGACTTCTACCCAGTGGTGTCACCCAACACTGATAGGACCTTGGTGGCTTCAACCCAAGGGTTGTCACCCAATGGTGTCACCCAACACCGGTGTGACATTGGTGGCTTCAACCCCAGTGGTGTCACCCAGTGGTGGCACCCAACACCGGTGTGACCTTGGTGGGTGGCTTCTACCCAGTGGTGTCACCCAATGGTGTCACCCAACGTTGAGGTTACCTTGGTGGGTGGCTTCTACCCAGTGGTGTCACCCAGCACCAGTTGGACCTTGGTGGCTTCAAGTTCAAGAGGTGTCACCCGATGGTGTCACCCAACATTGGTGTGACCTTGGTGGCTCCATCCCCAGGAGGTGACACTCACTGGGTGACACCAACGCTGGTGACACCAAGGTGGCTTCAACCCCAAGAGGTGTCACCCAACGCTGGTGTGACCCTGGTGGGTCCAGCCCCAGGAGGTGTCACCCAATGGGTGTCACCAACACGGGTTGGACCCTGGTGGCTTCAACCACACGGGATGCCACCAACCTCGGTGTGACCACGGTGGCTTGAAGCTCAATGGGCGCCACCCACTGCTGGTGACACCGCGGTGGCTCCAACCCCAGGAGGTGTCACCCAATGGGCTTGAGGTAACCATGGTGCCACCAGTGCTGGGTGGCCCCCCTTGGGTGGCACCTCTTGGGGTTGGAGCCACCAGGGTCACTCCAGCATTGGTGGCACCATGGTGGCTTCAACCCCAGGAGATGTCACCCACTGGGTGTCACCCAACACTGGTGGGACCCTGGTGGCTTCACCCCAAGAGGTGTCACCCAATGGTGTCACCCAACACTGGTGGGACCCTGGTGGCTTCACCCCAAGGGGTGTCACCCAAGGAGTGCCACCCGGCATTGGTGGCACCCTGGTGGCTCCAACTCCAGGAGGTGTCACCCAATGGGTGTCACCCAGTGCTGGTGTGACCCTGGTGGCTCCAACCCCAATGGGTGTCACCCAGTGCTGGTGTGACCCTGGTGGCTCCAACCCCAATGGGTGTCACCCAGTGGGTGTCACCCAGCTCCAGCATGACCATGGTGGCTTAAGCCCAATGGATGCCACCCAACGCTGGTGACACCATGGTGACTTCAAACCCAAGGGTGTCACCCAAGGGGTGTCACCCAATGCTGGTGACACCATGGTGACTTCAAACCCAAAGGTGTCACCCAAGGGGTGTCACCCAATGCTGGTGTGACCTTGGTGATCTCAACCCCAAGAGGTGTCACTCAATGGGTGTCACCCAACACTGGTGGCACCATGGTGGCTCCAAGCCCAAGGGGTGTCACTCAATGGGTGTCACCCAACACTGGTGTGACCATGGTGATCTCAACCCCAACAGGTGTCACCCAATGGGTGTCACCCAACGCTGGTGTGACCCTGTTGACCTCAACCCCAAGAGCTGTCACCCAGTGGTGTCACCAATGCTGGTGGCACCATGGTGGCTCCAACCCCAGGAGGTGTCACCCCATGGGTGCCACCCAACGCTGGTGTGACCCTGTTGACCTCAAGCCCAAGAGCTGTCACCCACTGGGTGCCACCCAACGCTGGTGTGACCCTGGTGCTTCACCCCAACCGTGACCTGGAAGAACCTTCCAACCCAACCCAACCCAACCCAACCAAGCCATGGTGGCCTTCCGTAACCGCGGCTGCGGGACTGTCCCGCTTGTTTTCCTGGGAATGTCCCCGAGCCCTGGAGCTGCTGAGCTGTGGGATGAGTTTGAGGAGCACCAACTGACCTGGGCGCCGTCGGCCTCGGCCTTGAGCAGCTCGCCCGAGCCCAGCTGGTTGCAGTAGAGCCCTGGAGGCCTCAGCGCCGCGTCCGGGACCTGCCGGAGACAACGGCCGCGCTCAGCCGGAATGCCGGGACCTCGGAATGGCGCCGAGCGCCGAGCGGTGGGGTTTGGGATGGAGATCATGTGAGCGGTGGGGTTTGGGATGGAGATCCCGTGTTTGGTGGGGTTTGGGATGGAGATCCCGTGTTTGGTGGGGTTTGGGATGGATCCCGTGTTTGGTGGGGTTTGGGATGGATCCCGTGTTTGGTGGGGTTTGGGATGGATCCCGTGTTTGGTGGGGTTTGGGATGGAGATCCCGTGTTTGGTGGGGTTTGGGATGGATCCCGTGTTTGGTGGGGTTTGGGATGGAGATCCCGTGTTTGGTGGGGTTTGGGATCCTCACCCCGTTTGGTGGGTTTGGGATGGATCCCGTGTTTGGTGGGGTTTGGGATGGATCCCGTGTTTGGTGGGGTTTGGGATGGAGATCCCCGTCCCATTTTTGATCCCATTCCTCACTCCCAGGATTCCACAGCCCCATTTCCAATCCCATTCCCGATCCCATTCCCGATCCCATTCCTGATCCCACTCCCGATCCCATTCCTGATCCCATTCCCCATCCCATTCTTGATCCCATTCCTCATTCCAGGATTCCACGGCCCCATTCCCTATCTCATTCCCAATCCCATTCCCGATCCCATTCCCAATCCCATTCCCGATCCCATTCCCAATCCCAATCCCATTTCTTATTCCCAGCTTCCCAGTGATCCACGGCCCCATTCCCAATCCCATTCCCAATAATCAGGGATCCATGGCCCCAGTCCTGATCCCATTCCTGATCCCATTCGCTATTCCCAACGGAGCAGGAACGGATGCACAGCCCCATTCCCGATCCCAATCCCAATCCCGTTCCTGTCTCATTCCCAATTCCCAGGGATCCACGGCCCCATCCCAGCACCTGGAACCTCTCCAGATGTTCCTGCACCTCCAACCCCGCCCAGCTCCATCCCATTTCCAGTGGAAACAGGAACAGATCCACGGCCCCATTCCCGATCCCATTTCCAAAGATCCGTGGCCTCATTCCCGATCCCAGTCTTATTCCCTATTCCCACGGATCATGGATCAATGGGGGATCCCAGCACGGGGCTGGGATCTGCTCCAGCTTTCTCCCATCTCCTTCCCACCCATTCCCGATCCCATTCCCAGTGATCCAGGGCCCCATTCCCGATCCCATTCCCAGTGATCCAGGGCCCCATTCCCGATCCCATTCCCAGTGATCCAGGGCCCCATTCCCGATCCCATTCCCAGTGATCCAGGGCCCCATTCCCAATCCCAATCCCAGGGATCCACAGCCCTATTCCCAATCCCATTCCCAGTGATCCAGGGCCCCATTCCCAATCCCAATCCCAGGGATCCACAGCCCTATTCCCAATCCCATTCCCAGTGATCCAGGGCCCCATTCCCAATCCCAATCCCAGGGATCCACAGCCCTATTCCCAATCCCATTCCCAGTGATCCAGGGCCCCATTCCCAATCCCAATCCCAGGGATCCACAGCCCTATTCCCAATCCCATTCCCAGTGATCCAGGGCCCCATTCCCAATCCCAATCCCAGGGATCCACAGCCCTATTCCCAATCCCATTCCCAGTGATCCAGGGCCCCATTCCCAATCCCAATCCCAGGGATCCACAGCCCTATTCCCAATCCCATTCCCAGTGATCCAGGGCCCCATTCCCAATCCCACCCGTTCCTGTCTCATTCCCAATTCCCAGGGATCCACGGCCCCATCCCAGCACCTGGAACCTCTCCAGATGTTCCTGCACCTCCAACCCCGCCCAGCTCCATCCCATTTCCAGTGGAAACAGGAACAGATCCACGGCCCCATTCCCGATCCCATTTCCAAAGATCCGTGGCCTCATTCCCGATCCCAGTCTTATTCCCTATTCCCACGGATCCATAGCCCCATTCCTGATCCCATTCCTGATCCCGTTCCTGATCCCGTTCCTGATCCCATTCTTGATCCCATTCCTGATCCCATTCCCTATTCCCAATGGAAATAGGAATGGATCCAGGGCCCCATTCCCGATCCCATTCCCAGTGATCCACGGCCCCATTCCCAATCCCATTCCCAGGGATCCATGGTCCCATTCCTGATCCCATTCCTGATCCCAATCCCAATATAATTCCTGATCCCATTCCCAAATCCATTCTCATTCTCTATTTCCCGGGATCCACGGCCCCATTCCCGATCCCATTCGCAGGGATCGAGGGCCCCATTCCCGATCCCATTCCCAGTGATCCACGGCCCCATTCCCAATCCCATTCCCAGGGATCCACGGCCCCATTCCCGATCCCATTCCCAATCTCATCTCCTATTCCCAGTGATCCATGGCCCCATTCCCGATCCCATTCCCGATCCCATTCCCGATCCCATCCCCATTCCCCTCGTGGCCGTCCCGGCAGCACCGACCTGCTCCGAGCACATGGAGTTGATGCCGGCCATGACGGGATTCATGGGAATGCCGCCGCCCATGGCGCCCATGCCGGGAACGCCGCCGGGAACGCCGCCGGAGCCGCCGGAGCCGGAGCCGGGGCCGGGGCCGGCCATGGAGACGGTGATGCTCATGTTGTTGTACATCCCCTGCGGCGCCGCCGCGCCCGCCGGCCCGAAAACACTGCAAAACCGGGAAAAAGCGTCGGGAATGGCCGGGATCCCGGAAGAATCCCGGAATTCCAAAGGGTTCCCGCGGGGGGATGGTGGAGGTTCGGTCCCGGCGTCCTGGGGCCGCGCAAGATTTCCTCGGATGCTGTCGGGGATTTTCTGGGAATTCCTTCCCGAATTCCTCCTCCTTTCCCAGGGGATTCCCTTTGTTCCGTGAGGAATTGGGATTTAGGGAATTCCAGGATGGTTTGGGGGGGAAGGGGCCTTAAGGAGGAACCCTGGGAATACTCCAGGATCTGATTTGTCCTTGGGAAAATCCCAAGGATGAGACGGCCACGGATTCGCTGGGAATTCCAGCCCAGCTGGGAATTCCTTCCCAAATCCCTCCCCTTTCCCAGGGAATTCCCTCCGTTCCCAGCTCTCCCAGCCTGCCATTGGATCCATCCCCATCGCGACTCCCCTCCAGGAAGGAATTTTAGGAATTCCCTGGGAATTGGGGACTCCAGGAAGGGTCTCCCTTCCCTTTTCCATCCCCAAATTCCTTAAAAATCCCTGGGGATGGATCCTGAGTGTCCTGGATCCCAGAATCCTGGAATTCTTTGGGATGGGATCCATGGAGCTTCAATCCCACCCCATTCCCATCCCGAACTGCTCCAGCCTTTCCTGGGACACTCCCAGGGATTCTCTGGGAATTCCAGCCCAGCCGGGAATTCCTTCCCAAATCCCACCCCACTCCCCCCTTTCCCTGGAGCTGCTCCCATTCCCAAACCCCAATCCCATTCCCAAATCCCAATCCCATTCCCAGGGACGCACGGCCCCATCCCAAGGGCTGGAATTCCTCGGGATGTCTCTGCACCCCCAAGGCCGTCCCGGCTCCCAGCGAAGGGATCTTGGATCCTTCGGGAATTTCCTGGATGATCGGCAGGAGCAAAGATTTTTGGGATTTCGGGATGGGGATCCCCGTGGGGGGGTTGGGATCTGCTCCAGCTTCATCCCAACCCCTTCCCGATGCCATTCCCGATCCCGTTCCCCATTCCCAGGGATCCACGGCCCCGTCCCAAGGGCAGGAGGTGATTCCAAAGGGAGATTCCCATGGATGATTCCACTGAATGATTCCCAAAGGATAATCCCAGTGGCTGACTCCCACGGATGATTCCAATGGGTAATTAATTCCAATGGAAAATTCCCATGGACAATTCCAATGGGTGACTCCCATGGATAAACCCAATGGATGATTCCAATGGATGATTCCAATGGGTAATTCCCATGGATAATTCCCATGGCTGAGGAATTCCTTCCCAAATCCCACCCCACTCCCCCCTTTCCCTGGAGCTGCTCCCATTCCCAAACCCCAATCCCATTCCCAAATCCCAATCCCATTCCCAGGGACGCACGGCCCCATCCCAAGGGCTGGAATTCCTCGGGATGTCTCTGCACCCCCAAGGCCGTCCCGGCTCCCAGCGAAGGGATCTTGGATCCTTCGGGAATTTCCTGGATGATCGGCAGGAGCAAAGATTTTTGGGATGGGGATCCCCATGGATCAACGGGGGATCCCCGTGGGGGGGTCGGGATCTGCTCCAACTTCATCCCAACCCCTTCCCGATGCCATTCCCGATCCCGTTCCCCATTCCCAGGGATCCACGGCCCCGTCCCAAGGGCAGGAGGTGATTCCAAAGGGAGATTCCCATGGATGATTCCACTGAATGATTCCCAAAGGATAATCCCAGTGGCTGACTCCCACGGATGATTCCAATGGGTAATTAATTCCAATGGAAAATTCCCATGGACAATTCCAATGGGTGACTCCCATGGATAAACCCAATGGATGATTCCAATGGATGATTCCAATGGGTAATTCCCATGGATAATTCCCATGGCTGATTCCCGTGGATAATTCCAATGGAAAATTCCCATGGATAATTCCCATGGCTGACTCCCATGGATAATTCCAATGGGTAATTAATTCCAATGGATAATTCCCATGGATAATTCCCATGGCTGACTCCCGTGGATAATTCCAATGGGTAATTAATTCCAATGGAAAATTCCCATGGATAATTCCCATGGCTGACTCCCGTGGATAATTCCAATGGGTAATTAATTCCAATGGAAAATTCCCATGGACAATTCCAATGGGTGACTCCCATGGATAATCCAAATGGACGATTCCAAAGGATGATTCCAATGGGTAATTCCAAAGGATAATTCCCATGGCTGACTCCCGTGGATAATTCCAATGGGTAATTAATTCCAATGGAAAATTCCCATGGACAATTCCAATGGGTGACTCCCATGGATAAACCCAATGGATGATTCCAATGGATGATTCCAATGGATGATTCCAATGGGTAATTCCAAAGGATAATTCCCATGGCTGACTCCCATGGATAATTCCAATGGAAAATTCCCATGGATAATTCCCATGGCTGACTCCCATGGATAATTCCAATGGGTAATTAATTCCAATGGATAATTCCCAAGGATAATTCCCATGGGTGACTCCCGTGGATAATTCCAATGGGTAATTAATTCCAATGGAAAATTCCCATGGACAATTCCAAAGGATGATTCCATTGGGTAATTCCAAAGGATAATTCCCATGGCTGACTCCCGTGGATAATTCCAATGGAAAATTCCCATGGATAATTCCAATGGGTGACTCCCATGGATAATCCAAATGGACAATTCCAATGGACGATTCCAATGGATGATTCCAATGGTAATTCCAAAGGATAATTGCCATGGATAATTCCAATGGACAGTTCCAGAAGATGACTCCAGTGGATAATTCCAAAGGGTAATTCCCACATAAAATTCCAATGGATTATTCCAGTGGATGATTCCCACGGATAATTCCAATGGAAAATTGCAGTGGATAATTCCTGTTGGTGACTCCCATGGATGATTCCAAAGGATAATTGCAAAGAATGAATCCAATGGATGATTCCAAGGGATAATTCCCATGGAAAATTCCAAGCGATGCCTCCAATGGACAATTCCACCGGATAATTCCAGTGGGTGATTCCCGTGGGTGAGTCCAATGGAAAATTCCAACGGACATTTTCAAAAGATGGCTCCAGTGGATGATTCCAAGGGAAAATTCCAATGGGTGACTCCAATGGATAATTACTTCCAAAGGATAATTCCAAAGGAGAAATCCAATGAGTGACTCCCATGGATAATTCCAATGGATAATCCCAATGAGTGACTCCCATGGATAATTCCAATGGATTATTCCAAAGGGTGACTCCAATGGATAATTCCAATGGATAATCCCAATGAGTGACTCCCATGGATAATTCCAATGGATTATTCCAAAGGGTGACTCCAATGGATTATTCCAATGGATAATCCCAACGGATAATCCCAATGGATAATTCCAATGAGTGACTCCTATGGATAATTCCAACGGATAATCCCAATGAGTGACTCCCATGGATAATTCCAGTGGATTATTCCAAAGGGTGACTCCAGTGGATAATCCCAATGGATAATCCCAATGGGTAATTCCAATGGGTGACTCCAATGGATAATCCCAATGGGTAATTCCAATGGGTGACTCCAATGGATTATTCCAATGGATAATCCCAACGGATAATCCCAATGAGTGACTCCCATGAATAATTCCAATGGATTATTCCAAAGGGTGACTCCAATGGATTATTCCAATGGATAATCCCAACGGATAATCCCAATGGATAATTCCAATGAGTGACTCCTATGGATAATTCCAATGGATAAATCCCCTGGACAACTCCCATGGACGATTCCAGTGGATAATTCCAAAGGATTCCTCTCATGGGTAATTCCCGTGGGTAATTCCAATTAATAAATCCAACGGACAATTCCAACGGATAATCCCCATGGAAAATTCCAGTGGGCAATCCCAATGGACGATTCCAGCGGGTAATTCCAATGGGTGACAATCCCGAAGGACGATTCCAATTGACAATCCCAATGGATAATTTCAAAGCATTATTCCAAGGGACGAATCCGTGGGAAAATCCCAAAGGACATTCCGATGGCCAGTCCAAAAGGACAATCCCAATGGACATTCCAATGGCCAGTCCAGAAGGACAATCCCAAAGGACATTCCAATGGCCAGTCCAAAAGGACAATCCCAAAGGACATTCCAATGGCCAGTCCAGAAGGACAATCCCAATGGATGGCCCCAAAGGACAATTCCCACGGATAATTCCAATGGACAATCCCAATGAGTGACCCCGATGGACAATCCCAATGGGCAATTCCAAAGGATGATTCCATTGGACAATCCCAATGGACAATCCCAATGAGTGACCCCGATGGACAATTCCAAAGGACAATTCCAAAGGATGATTGCATTGGACAATCCTAATGAGTGACCCCGATGGACAATCCCAATGGACAATTCCAAAGGATGATTCCATTGGACAATCCCAATGGACAATCCCAGTGAGTGACCCCAAAGGACAACCCCAATGAACAATCCTAATGGACAATCCCAATGGACAATTCCAAAGGATGATTCCATTGGACAATCCCAATGGACAATCCCAAAGGACGATTCCATTGGACAATCCCAAAGGCCAATCCCAATGGCCAACCCCAAAGGCCAATCCCCACGGCCGCTTCCAAAGGGCGCTCCCGACGCCCCGGGCCCTCGCCGGGGCCGGCCCCTCACCCGTTATTCCCGACGGCTCCGGCCTGCCAGGATTTCAGCTCCGGCGATTGGTAGCCGGGCGCGGGCGGCGCCGGCGGCAGCTGCGGCGACATCAGGGGGCTGCCGGGGCTGAGCGCCGGCGCGAATCCCGCCGGATCGCTCTGCGGCGCCATCCCTGCCAACCCGGGAGCGCCGTCACCGGCGGAAGGCTCCTCCCGCAGTCCCACATCTCCCATCCCGAATATCCCAAAGATCCTGAATGTCCCGAATGTCCCAAACACCCCGAATATCCCAAATACCATGAATACCCCAAATATCCCAAAGATCCTGATTATCCCGAATATCCCAAAGATCCTGATTATCCCGAATGTCCCAAAGATCCTGATTATCCCAAATGTCCCAAACACCCCGAATATCGCAAATACCCCGAATATCCCGAATTCCCCAAACACCCCGCATATCCCAAATACCCCGAACATCCCAAATGTCCCAAACACCCCGAGTATCCCAAATACCCCGAATGTCCCGAATTCCCCAAACACCCCGAATATCCCAAATACCATGAATACCCCAAATATCCCAAAGATCCTGAATATCCCAAATGTCCCAAACACCCCAAATACCCCAAACACCCCGAATATCCCAAATACCCCGAATGTCCCGAATACCTCAAACACCCCGAACATCCCAAATGTCCCAAACACCCCGAATATCCCAAATACCATGAATACCCCAAATATCCCAAAGATCCTGAATATCCCGAATATCCCAAGTACCCGGGCATCCCGTACCTGCCCCCGAGTATTGGAAGAGGTTCCTGAATATCCCAAATACCCCGAATATCCCAAATCCCCTAAATATCCCAAATATCCCAAATGCCCCAAAGCCCCGTGCACCTCGTACCTGCCCCTGAGTACTGGGAGAGGTTCCCGAACACCCAGAACATCCTGAATATCCCAAATATCCCAAATATCCCAAAGATCCTGCATGTCCCAAATACCCTGAATACCCCGAATATCCTCAATATCCAGATTATCCCAAATATCCTGAATACCCAAAACATCCCAAATCTCCCAAACCCCCATGTCCCCCCTACCTGCCCCCGAGTATTGGAAGAGGTTCCTGAATATCCCAAATATCCTGAATGTTCCAAACTCCCTGAATATCCCGAATGTCCCAAATTCCCCAAATGTCCTGAATACCCCAAATACCCCAAACAAATCCCCCAAATATCCCAAAGATCCTGCACATCCCAAATACCCTGAATATCCAGAATATCCCAAATACCCTGAACATCCAGAATATCCCAAATACCCTGAATATCCAGAATATCCCAAATACCCTGAATATCCCAAATACCATGAATACCCCAAATATCCCAAAGATCCTGCACATCCCAAATACCCTGAATATCCAGAATATCCCAAATACCCTGAACATCCAGAATATCCCAAATACCATGAATATCCAGAATATCCCAATACCCTGAATATCCCAAACACCCCGAATACCCCAAACACCCCAAATACCCCAAAAACTCCGAACCCCGTACCTGCCCAAGTACTGGAAGAGGTTCCCGAATATTCCAAACACCCTGAACACCCCAAAATGTTCCAAATACCCCGAATGTCCCAAATCCCCCGAATACCCCAAACCCCAAATGCCCCGTACCTACCCCAAAGGACTGGAAGAGGTTCCCAAATATCCCAAACACCCCAAATCCACCGAATACCCCGAATGTCCCAAATGCCCTCAATACCCCAAACACCCCGAAAACCCCAAAAACCCTGAATACCCCCAACACCCGAAATATCCCAAACCCCGTACCTGCCCCTGAGTACTGGAAGATGTTCCCAAATACTCCAAACACCCCAAATACCCCAAACACCGTGCCCCGTACCTGCCCCCAAGTACTGGAAGAGGTTCCCGAATATCCCGAATACCCCAAACACCCCAAATATCCCGAATGTCCCAAATACCCCGAACACCCCAAATGCCCCAAACCCCGTACCTGCCCCTGAGTACTGGAAGATGTTCCCAAATACTCCAAACACCCCAAATACCCCAGACACCCCAAATACCCCAAAAACCCTGAATACCCCAAACCCCCCTGCCCCGTACCTGCCCCCAAATACTGGAAGAGGTTCCTGAATATCCCAAACACCCCAAATACCCTGAACACCCCAAATACCCTGAACACCCCAAATACCCCAAACACCCCGAACACCCTGAACACCCCAAATACCCCGAACACCCCAAATACCCTGAACACCCCAAATACCCCAAATATCCCAAACACCCCAAATACCCTGAACACCCCAAATACCCCAAATATCCCAAACACCCCAAATACCCTGAACACCCCAAATACCC